ACCCCACAGTCCCGCCAGCCCCACCTCCTTCTCCAGCTGAGGACCCCAAAGCCTCCTAGGCACGTAAAACATCCGTCATGTGGAAGTGGACTTTGGCATAAAACTCCAGAAAACCGTTCCCGGGAAGTCCTTGGGTGGTTATGAAGACCGTCTTGGAAGAGCTTTGCCCCCTTTTCCCCATATTTCTCCTCCTCCAGCCACTGTGGCCCATTGTTATCCTCACAAATGCACTGGAGTCGTCCTTGGTTCTTCAAGCCAAATTCCTGATAACGTGTATATATATTTGATCTCTAATTTATGCCTTGCTGTAGAACGCTTATGATAGTCAGTTGTATTTTGAATTAAAGAAAAGTGATCAGGCCTCCATGTCTGTTACTAAACCTGGGTGATAAAAAGTCCAGGCCTCTGTGACTTTAAAAATTTGAGAACTCTGAAATATTTGGGGTTTCAAAACTCACCACAGTTGTACGGCCTTTTGTGCTCATGTGACTGACCCATGTTCTGTGCTGGGGCTAGGCTGGTTGCATTTCACATTTATGGACAATATTTTCAAAGCTTGATTCTAGGAGATTGAAGTGAATTTCAAACTCTGTAACAGTGAATTATGTCACATGTCAGGAGCTGATAAATGGAAACATATTTAAATAATATGACGGAGTGAGGAAGATTTAGGTGTGGTAGAGGAAGCAGCAAGTCAGTTGAAATTTTTTTTTTTAAAGATTTTTATTGGGGAATTGGGGAAGAGGAACCTTGTGTTTTTCCAGGACCGATCAGCTCCAAGTCAAGTTGTTGTTCTTCAGTCCTAGTTGTTGTGGGTGCAGCTCAGCTCCAAGTCCAGTTGCCGCTTTAAATCTAGTTGCAGGGGGGGCGCAGACCACCATGCGGGAGTTGAACTGGCAACTTTGTTGGTAAGAGCACACGCTCGCACCAGCTGAGCCATCCGTCTGACCGCCCATTAGCAGCTTGGCAGCAGCTCAGCTCAGGTGCAGCTCACTGGTCCATGTGGGAATCGAACTGGCAACCCCATTGCTCAGAGCTCGCACTCCAACCAACTGAGCCACCCAGCTGGCCCTACAATTTTAAATAAGGTCCTCTGGGAACAGCTCTTTAGGGAGGTGACACTTAATAAAGACTTGAAAATAGCGATCAAATTAGGTTTATGGACATCTGGGACAGAGGGCAGAGTCAGTGCAAAGGCCTCACGACAAAAGTGCCTGGTTGATTCAAAGGAGGGCAAGGAGGCCAGTGGGGCTTGGTTGGGGTAGAAGGAGTCGGGGGACATTAGTAGAAGATGAAGTCACAGTGGTGGGAGAAGGAGGTAGATGGTGGGGGCTTTGTAAGGACTCTGCCTTGGACTTTGAATGGGATGGGAAGCCATGGAGGGCTTTCAGAAACGGAGAGGCATGACCTGACTTGTGTTTTCATGGAGTCGCTCTGCCTGCTGTGTGGAGCATAAGCTGTATGGGGTAGGGGGTGGGGAGCGGGGGGTGAGGGTTGCAGGGTGAGGTGGGGGGGGGCATGACATCACTGCAGAGGCTGTTGTTATCTAGGAGAAAAATGACGGTAACTTGGATATATAGCAACTGGGCTGGTGACAAACGCTTCTTGAACTTCGAGTTTATTGGGATATAAGATGTTAGTGAATTGATAACTAAGAAATTGTACAGAATAGTTTAACGTTGATATGGGATGCTGGGGACCTTTATGGATTGGGGTACACGGCAAATTCTGAATATACGTATTTGAAGACAGAACCAACAAACATTTCTGATGGGTTGGATGCGGGGTTATGAGAAAGAGGAGGAAAGGATGAGCCCAAGGACTTTGGCCTGAGCACCTGGAGGGCTGGAGTCACCATCAGCTTCGAGAAGAGCAGATGTGTCTGAGGGGGGTGGGTAGGAAAACGCAAAATCTGTTTTTGCTGATTTGATATGCCTAATGGACAGTTAAGTGGGGATGTCAAGTGGGCAGATGAATACGTGAATCTGGAGTTCAGGGGTGATGTCTTGGCTGGAGATACGCATGTGAGGAGCCATCAGCACAGCGATAGCACTTCATGCTGTGATACTCGATGAGAGCCCCAGAAAAATGAGACCCTACATTGAACCCCAGGGCGTATCCACCGTAAGAAGTTGGGACTATGTGATGACTAATTTTATGTGTCAACTTGACTGGGCCAAGGGGTGCCCAGATGGAACATTTCTGGGCTCACCTGTGAGGCTGTTTCCAGATGAGATTAGCCTTTGACTCAGTGGACCCAGTATAGCAGATGGGCCCCCCAAGTCTGGCTGGGTGTCATCTAATCCTCTTAGGGCCTGCCCCAAACACAAAGGTGGAGGAAGGACAAATTCACCCCTTTTGCTTCCTGCTCCCCTGTTTGAGCTGGAGCATCTGTCTTCTGCCCCCCACTCTGGGATTTACGCCGTCAGCGCCCCCCAGTTCCCAGGCCTTTGGACGTGCACTGCACCGCACCACCAGCTGTCTTGGGTCTCCGACTCGCAGATGACGGGGCCATGGGGCTTCTTGGCATCCATGGTCGCATGAGCCACTTCCTCACAATAAATCTCTATCTTGTCCTCTCTATATCTGTACATCTCCCACTGGTTCTGTTTCCCTGGAGAACCCTGACTGATCATGGCTAAAAGGACAAACCAGCAAAGAAATCCAGAGGGAGTGTTCAACCATGTAGGAGGCATCTAACGTTCTGGAAGCTAAGTGAAGACGAAATTTCCTTCTTCCCTCTTTCCCCGCTTCATTCGTCCCCTTCCATCCCAAAGCCGGAAGCGGGAATGACGGAGGGAAAGGAAAAGAACCATGGGCGGGTCTGTGCGAGCAGGACCCGCCTCACCCCGATGTGTGCTGGGACTGCTCCCGTCAGCTCCACGCGGCCTCCTCGCCTTCCTTCCCATCTTCATTCATCACCTGGCAGCTAAAGGTGCTTAGAGGGAGACTGAGTCCTGACCTCCGGGTTTCCCAGTCTTTCAGAGTCGGCTATCAGCCGGGTGGAGTGGCGATGCCCGGTTGTTATGGCTGAATTCTGTCCGCCCCCACCCCCATTTATATGTTTAAGTTCTGTCCTCTAGTGCCTCCAAATGTGACTGTCTTTGGAGGTAGGGCCTTTAAAGAGGTCATTAAAGGTCAGCCGTTAGGGCGGGTCCTCATCCAATTTGACTGTTGTCCCTATAAAAAGAGGTGATTGGGACATAGCCACACATAGAAGGAAGACCATGTGAGGACACAGGGAGAAGACGGCCATTTACACGCAAAAGTCAGAGGCCTTAGAAGAAACCAGCCCTGCTGACACCCTGATCTTGGACGTCCAGCCTCCAGAGCTGTGAGAAAATAAATGTCTGTTGTTGAAAACACCCTTTCTGTGGCCCTTTGTTGTGGTGGCCTGAGCAGACTAAGAAGCCAGTGGAGAGAGTTTGACATCTCACTGTCTCCCTAATCAGCCATGGCATGGGTAGCCCCAGTGAGGATCAACTCTCAACCGGGAAAAATGTCAATTTCTTGGCTTTGCTTTCCAGAGTATACTGTTTAGAACTCTGGTAGGGAGAATTGTCATTCAAGTCAAGGCTTTGACTTTTAAGAGCTGGTTCTCTTGGAAATTAGATTTCTGAGCCCGGCTCCCATGAACAGTACAGTAAAACCTTGGGTTGCGAGTAACGTGGTTTGCGAGTGTTCCGCAAAATAAGCAAACATTTCTACTATATTTTAATGCGGTAAACGAGCGATGTCTTGGAATACGAGTAGTTTGTTCCCGGAACGAATTATGCTCGCAGACCAAGGAATTACTGTATTTGAGAAGATAACGGATAAAGACCAAAACCGTCCCATCCCTTCAGTCTGAATAAAATCAGGGGGAAGCGAGGGAACTTCAGAAAAAAAAGCGCGTAGGTTCTAGAGAGTTCCTGACAGGCCTTTGTGTCTCAGACAGTTTGGAGCAGGAGAAAACAGAGGGGGCTTGTGCGTGTTTCTGGGTGAAGCCTGTGCAGGTGACGAAGTTCCAAGACTAGTGGCTCTTGTTCAGCAAGAGGGTGAGAGGGAGCCTGAGACCTGGGAGGAAGTGCCCGAGCAGAGGCGTTTCCTACAGGGCAGGTGAGCTCCCGAAGTGTGAAAAGCTGCTGTCCCCCTGGTGAGACACACCGCAGGCGAGAGAATGGGAGCCTGCTGATGCGCTGGCCGTCAGAACGCGGAGGACGCCAGAGCTGGAAGAGACATGGGCGTGAGCAGCAAACGCTGGACTCCGCACTGATGCCCAGGCCCAGGTGTGGGGAGAAGCTCTGCCTGCTTGCCAGGCTGCCCTCCCGTCACCTTTCTCAACCATGGACGTCACCCTGAAGAGAATGGAGAAGAGGAAACATCTGAATTGACCGAAAACACGCTGATGGGATGGAGTCCAAGTCGAACTGTCAAGAGAAAGGGCTCTACCATTACGTACAATGGCACCTCAAGATAGAAGTCAAGTTCAGTTGTTAAAAAATAATGCTGTCAAGTTTGCTTGCCTGAGGTCGTGGTGGATGAAATTCACATCCAGGACAGTGAATGAGAACCAGAGTGAAACTAGGGTGAGAAGAGGGTGAGTTGGGGGAAAATGAAAAGGGGGTAAGAAGGGGTGAATTCCACTGTTTGCTGGGTGTCATCCTGGGAGCACCTCAAAACCAGATGCAAGCCTCTCTCTCTCACACACACACACACACACCTCTTTAGCATCCTGCAATCACAGCTCCCAACCCAAAGCGATTGTCTGATAGTTGGAATCCTCACTCTGTTCTTACACAAAGTAGCCACAAAGTTCAAGGAGAACGTGTGTCAGAGCCTTTTATTTCGGGGGCAAAGGTTACGTAACACCCACCTGGACTCTTCCTAAAGCGTCAGAAGCCAACTACAGGAAACACACCGTATATACGTTTAGAGCCGGCTGCAGAGCTTCCCTTGTTCAGAAGTGCTACGTTTCACTGTGGCTTGTGGTGACCCTGCAGCATGCAAGAGCCGGGGGGGAAGGCCCTGAGTCCACACGGGGCAGCATGTTTTCCCCAAACTCTTCGCCTGGAAACATACCCCCTTCAGCCCCACTGAAGGCCATTTACAAAAAGCCTTCTTGTGGTTTCCATGAAGAAGCTACTATGCATGATAGCTTTTGCCCCAAACCACCAGAAAACTTAAACTATTTTGGCTACACGTGCCTCTCAAAGCTGACAGAAGAAAATAATATCTATGGTGAAACTGCGTGAATCCCCAGACTGCTGTTCCCGCACAGCCAGCCATGGTGACAGCGCACATTGGGAAGCAGAGCAGAGCTGCCTGGGCTCTGGCTGGCTGGCTGTCCCCTGGGGAGCTCTGCACTCCATCCCCATCTGCCCTTCCCGACTGAACGTGGCGGCTTTTCACATCTTGGAGAGCCTGACATCGTAGGTGACCATGTTGAAGTTGTCCCAGGCGAAGAGCTTCTTCTCCAGGGGGTTGTAGTCGACCATGCTGCTGTACTTGTACTGGTTCTTGAACGGGATGGTCAAGGCCTTGCTGCTTTTGGTGCCCGTGTCATATGCAAAGTTGATGGTGGCGTCCGGTGACGAGTAGCTGCTGACGGTGTACAAGGTGCCGCAGATGACGAAGGCGTTGGCGACCGACTGCTTCCGGATGTTCGTCTCCCAGGTCTGTTCAAGCTCCAGGCTCTCTGGGTTCAGCTTGGAGAGGACGATGGCACCTTTGGCCTCCTCTGTGCTGTAGATGACCCACAGGCCCGTCTCGTCCACCGCCAGGTCGATGTCCGTGTAGCCTCCCCAGGAATACGGGAACTGTCCATGGTAGCCGGCCCCGGGGATGTCCTTCTCGGCCTTCACCGTCTCGGTGTTCAGCTCGTACCTGACCAGCGTCCTGGACTCGGCCCCCTGGTAGTAGAGGCTGCCCGCGTAGACCACGCCGCCTGTGCTTTCCAGCGGCCTGGGCAGCACGTGGACCTTGGAAGGGTAGCCCCGCGTGAACTGACTGATGAGGTGGTACTCCAACACCTGCCGGATGGCTGTTCCCACCGTGTCAACTCTCCACGTGGTGTTCTGCGTGTAGGGGCTCACGGGCTTTGGGTCTCGCATCCACACGCCATACTTGCCAGTGATGCTTTCAGCTGTTCTCAGAGTGACAGGCTCTCCCACCCAAACGAGGTCTCCGCATCCTGGTGAATTCAAAACAAAGCAAGAAGTGCTGACCCACCTTCTTTCCACGGTGTGGAAGCATGGCAGAGCCGGCAGAAGTGAGAACCCCAGACACAGGATGTCAGGGTTAACATCCCAGCTATGCCACCTGCTGGCTGTGACTTTCAGTGAGGCACTTCGCTTGCTAAGCCCCAGTGTTCATTCTCATTTGTAAAGGGGATCATAATAGTGCTTAGGTCACAGGGCTGTTGACGTTTTAGATGCAACTAGGCATGTGAAGTGCTTGGTTAGTGTACATGACAAGTAAATGTTATGTGATCAGAATTGAACTTTGACAGAGGGCTTCAAACTATATTTTAATATTCAGGTTACACTGGGCAGGGTCCCGTGGGTATTCATCATATTCCCCTTTATGACGTTCATGTCTGATTGATTTCATGATTTTTAAAAAACAAGACCAAAATCAAGTCATTATAATAGTCTCTAGAAAACAAGAGTTTTTCAAGCCCTAACCAATAGACCACATATTTCAGGCATGATTTTAATACAGTAAAATCTTAATATAATTTAAACATGTAGTGAGGAGGTGGTTGAAAACTTCGATCTTGTGGAATTACAAGTAGCTGCCCTTTAATGGGAACCTTCACTGTCCTTATAGGAAGTGCTCCTAGCTCGGGGACTCATATTAAGTGTATTTCAAAGCTCCCCATCTCCGTGTGTGCGCTTCAGCGCTAGCAGTGACTGTCAATGCCATGGACAAATACAGTTCCTGAAAACCACAGTCTTTGTCTTAAAGTCTGGCTCTCAGGGAAGACTTGGGAGAGGGGCAACCGTGTTTTTCCCAAGTCTCCAAAGTTCAGAAAAGACACCTTTAGTAACAGACTGTGTGACTCAGATGGCACATGGTGTCCATCGGTGCCTAAGATGAAGATCTGAAGGCTCTAAGGAAAAATGTCATTTTTCAGATGTAATCGATCCCATGTGACAAGCAAGTGGGTGAGATAAGCACATCTCTCCTCTCCCCCCAGCCCAGCCCACCATCCCAGGTGTGGGTGGAAAGATACAGAGCTTGACTGGGGAAAAGCCGACTTCCTGCCCAGGAAAGGGAGCAGGACGCAGGACAGATAAAGACCACCTAAGTACAGAGGAAATTTAACTTCATACCAGTGTCCCCATCTTCACTCCTGGGACGGCCAGACGTCGGACTCGCCAAGATCTGGGAGGCAGGAACCTCACTGAACTCTGACTTCAGTTCCTGGAAGTCCAAGCTCTCCAAATTCCATCTAGAAACTATATGAAAAGAGAGAGATACTATTGTACCGTGAGGGAAAGGGGCCCCCTGACTGTGCTGAGGACGGCAGTCAAATACGCTTCTGGAGCTAGGAATGGTGTTTGAAATTTCAGGTAAGCAACGGGAGGATGAAACGAGACAGGGCTGGCGGAGCTGGCAGATGGGTCCACTGGGGTTCCTACTGTTCTCTCTACTTTTGTGAATGTTTTAAACGTTCCCTAATAAAACGCTCATATATAATAAATCGCATAGTCATGGGCCGAGCACAGAATAGGGTATTCAAAATGAAATAAGAGGCAGCTAGTGCACCATTCAAATCATTCCCACTAGAAGGCCTGGCTTCTGAGTAGGTAGGTGCATGGCTCGGGGGAGACCCTCAGCCTCTTCCCGGGTGGCTGAAATTCAACCATGCATAGTTCCCCCTGTGACTGAGCACTTCTCTCCTGGCCGTAATGCAAATGTTCCTGTAAGAAGTGGCATATTAAGCCTCACAGTCTCCTGAAATGTTCTGTCAGATCTCTTTCTGAGACCAGTTTTGGACACGGACGGGAGTTCCCATAGTGCAGGGTTCCCATAGGAATTGGGGGGAGGGTTAGAGCCATAGAGAGGGGGAGAGGTGTGGATGACACTGGTTAGACACCATCGTTACCGTGTGTCACACAGCGCTGCTTTGGCTTAGGGTCACAGTCATCCGGGGTCTCGGAATACAAGGAAAAAGCAATAGCCACACGGAGCAGGTTTAGCCGTTTTAAAATGTAGGTCTGATTGTGACTTAGGTTTAGCAAGGCCAGACAGGAGACGATTGCCAGGGAAACGAGTTTGTTATACTCACTGATCCCCAGAGGAGATCCTGTAGGGTCCTGGGGAGGTGGTTTTGTTGCCCAAATGTCCCTCTCCCAGCCTAAAGTCCTACGAAGGTGAGGAAACACCTCCGCCCTTCACTCGAAAGACCTCCTTGACCTAGGAGGTCACCCAGAGCAGAGGCTGGCCCACTAGGTAACTCGGCCAACCCGAGACGTGCACCAGCTGCTCCCCGCACCCCACCCCGAGCTGGTGGCCCTCATATTGCCACCTCCTCAGGCAGCACGGGAGAGGGACAGGGTGCCCCACATCCCCTGTTCTTCTGTGCTGCTGGGAAAAGGTCAGAGCGAGGAGCCCCCTTCCTCTACAGGGGCTGACAGAGCTGTTTGTACCCATCTCTGCCTCCTGGAACCCAGGCCTCCACCCTCTGTCTGCCCCTCCTGGCGCCATCACGTCTCTCTTAGGCCTGAAGCACCGTGCTAGGGCCCTGACCCCTGGCTGGCAGGAGCAAACTCCCCCCCCCCACCCCCACCTCGCCTGCCTTGCTGCCTACACTGAGCGGAGGCTCATAGAGTGCAGCAACCCCTGGCAGGGCCACTTCTCAAAGCCAGGTCACTGAGCAGGCTCTCGGAGCTGTTTCCCTTCCCTCTGTACCCTTCCTTAGGCCACCACAGGCTATTCCTGTGGATAATTCATCGTTCCTTTCACTGTTTCCATTAGTTCTCAGAATGCAGGAGCTGGTTTCAGGCAATGTGAAGTGACAGAGAAATACTGCCATGCACCCACACAAAAGGTCTAGAAAGTTCCCTCGCCCCCCCCCAGCTCCCAGTCCCTCAGCTCTGTCACCCACAGGTGCCAGTGAGCCACCCTCCCTGTACCCGGCTGCCTCCTCTGTGCATCTGAGACAAATTCTTTTATTTCGTGAATGTAGCTAGGAGGGTCATATAATTTAGTGACTTATTGAGAGAAAGATGTGTATTGAGAAAAGGAGAGGCACACGCCTGCAAGTCAGTGGGAAGAAAATTAAGAAATGTCCTCTTTAGCCCGAGAGGGAATAAACTGGGGGGAAAAATCCACAGTGTTTTCACAGGTGACTTCCTTGAAATAGCTAAAATATCAGCGCTGAAATACTGAAATACAGCTTCTTTGTGAAAAGAGACGACTAACAGCTATTTGTAGATCTTTCCACATTTCAAAGCAGTTTCACATACATTATTTATGTAATCTGGTGCCTTGACAAGATTAGAAAAACAGAATAAGGCTTTAGGATTGAAGTCTGTACCCAATTTAATTACTGCCACCATTTACTAAGTGCCTCCTAGGAGCAGGTACTAGACTAGGTGCTTGCTACCATTACCTGGGTCCCACATAACAATCCTGAAAGTTGAACTTTATTATCTTCATTTTGCTAATGAAGAAACTGAGGCTCAGAGAGGTTAAGCAACTTACCCAAGGCCACACAGCTGGTGAGTGCTGGGACTAGGCTTTGAACCCACGTCTGCCACGGCCCTGGCAGTTGCGAACTTTTCCACCCTGTGGTGGGAGATGTGTCACTTTGCAAATGTGTTGCCTCTCAGTGCTGGAAGCACCTTCTGTGCTCCGACAAAGGAGGCATTTCTCCTTTAAAATGAGCTCAGTGCTGAGCTTTCTCGGTAGAGGGCGCTGGAGGGACATTGTGGGAGGCAGGAGGCCTCCTGCTGTGTCCGGCAGGAGCTGGCTTGGCTGAGTGAGTGTGAGTGTGGACATCAGATGGAGCCCAAGATGTGGCCCCTCTGTGACCCTGAAAACTTGGCCTGGCCATAACCTTTCCCTAGCCCTCTCAACACAGAGCCCCAAAGCCCCTGTGCAGGGACCCCTCCTGGCTCTGCAGGGCTCCTTGCCGCCCGCCCCTGACACCACGGTGCCCAGCTGGTTGCTCCTTGGAAGGTGGGTGACCTTGGTAGCTGTGGGCCAACTCTGACCATTTTCTCTCCTATCTGATGGGCTGAACGCCATTCCAGACGAAATCCAAACCCCTTCAAGTTTGTCCTCCCTCAGCCCCAGGAAGCCATGTAGAGGTTCCTCATCTCTCAAAGGTGCTCTTTCATCATTGGTAGCAATTCTTTATATTGAACATCCCTGACTTAAACTGCTCTGTGGTTTCTGCTATGACTGGACCCAGACGGCTACCAGAGGCTTTACAAGAACCTCGGAGATGCTGCTTAGCACTTTGGGGAGTGACCCACCTGGAGCTGAGCTCCGATTCCAGGGGGTTACTCTCACTCGCAGCTCCCAGGGGGCTCACACACACACACAGAGCCCCCAGCAGCTCCCCCCCCCCCACTACCCACAAAGAGATGGCACAGGCACCTGGCTGGAGGGACTTCCTTTTCTGGTCCCACCAAGACCCTCAGGGCTCTGAGCAGGGTTCTCTCTCTCTCCCTCTCCCTCCCTGCCTTCTTCCCTCCTTGTCCCTCCCCCACCCCTCTTTCATCACTCTTCGCAGGAACCACACCTCATGTGCTTTTTGGAATAAACAAGAATCACAATAAAACATAATGTCAGGGCATGGCTTCCAGGGTGACCACAAAGCTAGTTCTCAGTTGGCAGGTGGACTGGTTGGATTAGAAGCCTGCTGGCTTTTTCTTGATTGTGTCAGCCAGGAGCGGCTGACCACAGTCAGATCCCCAGAGCAGAGCTGTCTGGCGTGAGGACCAAAGCCTGTGGGAGAGGATGCAAGGTCCAAAGGCAGGTACACGGCTGTGCAAAGGGGCCGGGACTGGGCAAGAAGTCGAGGCTTCCTAGCTCAGTGCTGCCATGCGCTGGCTCTGTGACTTTGGGCAAGTTACTCAACCTCTCTGAGCCTCGGTGTCCTTAGCTCAAACTATAAATGACATGGTTCTCAATAAGGATGTGTCAAAGCTAACGTTTTTCTGGAATGTTTCAAAATCACATCTCATTCTGGATGTGGGCGAAAAGTTAAAAAGAGGTTATGAAAATATTACAGACTGTATTGTCTCAGCTAAACATTTTTAGGGCTTTGTTTCTATTACAGTTCAGTCCTTTTAGGGTTGAAAGGTTCATGTCTATTACAAAATTCTGAGTAGCTTCTGCATGTTCTTCCCTATCTCCCTTACCTCTGCCTTATAGACACCTTCGAGAGAGCTTAGCCTAGAAACTGCATTTATTAACTTGTTTTTATACCTTTATCTGCCCAAGAAGAGGTGACATTTACATATATAGGCATATATATATATAAATACATCTGTGTAAAAATTATACAGGCAAGTTGATGAATGTACATAAGCAAATGTCATCGTAATGATTTTTGTAGTTATTTTTCTATCACTGCCTGAACATTAGGCTGGTATTGCACAAATGGAGAGGAGGAAGAGGACGGAGGGTGCCACCAGGATTACAGGTTGTCACAAGTTCTCTAGGAAAGTGAAGATTAGCTGGCAGACTCTTGTCCTGGGTGCTCCACACGCACCATCTCTAGAATCAATGTGCGTGTTACAGAAATGTGAAGTGCATGTCGACACTTTGATCATTCAACGACATTTTAAAACAGTCGTGGAGCTCGAGCAAAAGGAGCACTTTGTAGCTATAATTCCATTTCCTGGGAGGCTGCCCCGTGCCAGACGTTGTGCTGGAGGCTTCCCCCTGTGATAAACCCTACTGGCGCGACCCCACTCCCACCCCTGCCCTGCAACCTGCATGTCCTGCCCACCTTTGTCTAGCTGCTGCTGGGGCTACCTGCCTGGAGAAGGTGTCACCTGCTGGGATCTCCCCTCAGCTGCCCTACCCCAGCTTCTCTGACACTCTGAGGTCACTGAACTCCACTCAGGTGCATTCTAGCCCTGGCCCTGCAAGCAGCAGCCTGGTGTCCACTTCTGAGCACCTGGGAAGTGCCACCTACCCAACGGGGTGACCCTTGGGCCACAGAGTAGCGGTCCAGGATGGACATCCTCTTTCTCTGCTACATTCTTCACTGGTCCGCTGGGGCCGAGCCTCACCACCCAAGGAGGTGACCAACTGCAGTACGCTCCCCTTGAAGGCCCCCTTTCCTTCCCTGTCTCGCTGTCCCCTGTCCCCCACTTGTCCCTGGGATTGTGGCCCATATAAGCCACTGCACACAAGCCCTCATCTAGGCTCTGTTTTCTGGCGGGGGGCCCAGTCCAAAACAGAGGTACAATGAAGGGGAAAGTGTGGCTTTCCTTGTGACACTAATTACCAACCCTATTTTACCTTTTGGGAATCTGTATTCTTCTACTTTGGGCTCATTTAAAAGGTTTACCGACATTTGACTACAGAACGATAACTACAAAATTAGAATACATATACATGTTATCTCAACTGATACACACATTTAAACAAGTGATTTCCGTGATTCTAAGGTTTTTTTCTATAAGACAATCACATGGTAAAGAAAGGGATGGTGACAATTTGAATTACAGATGGTCCTCAGGCCTTTCCCCTGTTCCCTCAGCCCCCCTGAGCCCTCAAGCCCCACCAGTCATGCTTCAGTATTGTCACCTCTCCATAAACTCACACCCACAGTTAAATTCCAGCCGCCCCAAAATACCCCTTTATCCTCAAATCCAGGACCTCAAAGCAGATCTTTCATTCTAGGCCCTTCTTTCCCTGATGTTCAAGTGTGACGTTTATCTTAGGTTCTATAAGCTAGAGGTCACTTCAGTTCCTGAAGTGTCACTGGGCCTTACTCAGGTGCATTCCAGTCCTGGCCCTGACACCAGCTGGCCCGGGGCTCACAGACCAGCGGTATAACTTCTCTGGGCCTCAGTTTCCACATCTGTTCCCTAGGCCACTTTCCAGCTCACATTCTCATGCTAATGAAATTTCCTGCTCAGGAAAAAAAAACAAACCCCGATGTTCAAGAGGAACTCTCAAGTTTGGAGTTCATTATCATGGGCTGTTCTTATTTCAAAAACTGGAGCAGCTGGAGAGGACAAAAAGTAATATAAAGTCAGAGAGCCTCTCTCATAAATGCCCAATGACCTGTTAAATGACCACACACAATAAAACAGACAAAATGTTCCCTATAATTACACACATGCACACGCATGTATGCACATGCACAAGAGTTTTTGTTGCAAATCTATCTTCCTTGGTTAACAGTCTGAAGCAAGTACTGCCTCACGACATATCCATTAATAAGGATTCCTTCATTTGTCCTTGAAGACTCAAGTTCAAGTCTCAGCTCTACCCTGGGTCAGCTCTGCAATCCGGGGCCCCTTAGCCACGGTCCACCTCACTTTCCTTAGTTGTAGAAGTTAGATCTCTTCCAATTCTAACAATAAAGGATGGAAAAAAAATTCTTCACAATGCAGAGTTATTTCATTGGTGCTTCACGATCATTATTATTCACCATGGGAATGTTTAGTGTCGTGGGATGGGTGAGAAACCAAGGCGCAGAAGTTAAATGACTGGCCCAAGGTCACATCCTAGCCTTGACTCTGGGTTTTTCTAGCCTCACAGCCACACAGATGCGACTTTCATGTAAAGTCTTTTCAGACGTGGTTTTTCCATCATTGTACTTTGAAGATTTTCAAACGCGTACAGAAGTTGGAAGAGTAGGACAATTACTGTTCACTTAGGTCTCACCAGCTGTTAGGATTTTGCCACATATTTTACCTTTCTGTATATTTACAGTCTTTGCTGAACCGCGTGAAAGCCAACTGCAGACATCCTGACCCTCATAACCACCAGGAAACCTCACGTTAATCCAATGATGTAATCAACTAAGCAATCTATATGCAAATTCCCTCAGTGACCCCACACCTGCCCCTTGTGGCTTTCCCCTGGATGCGGAGCGTATGGGGTAGTCACTGAGATCAGTCAGCCCATCACTTTAGTCTCCTTTAATCTGGAGCAAACTCCTCTCTCTCTCTCTCTCTCTCTCTCTCTCTCTCTCTCTTTCTGTCAACATCTTTGAAGGACCCACATTAATTGTCCTGCAGCTGGATCTGCCTGCTTGCTCCCTCGTGATTGGACAACTTACGAAACAGTGACTATCGGGAACACAATCTCACAAAAAGTGACACAGTTGCTGTCTTCCCCCCTGAGTTCATTTGCCTGCCTCCTGCTAGATGTGTGGTCTCTGGGACAAAGGACAGGGCAGGCAGAGCAGGCCTGGGCCACCTGCAACATGTCACCATGAGCCACGTCACCTTCTGGACTCTGAGGTCCCCGAGTCACGTTCTTACCTTCCCTGCCGCCTGGAGACACATCCTGAGGGGGGTTCTGGGCCTGCAGACACTGGCCCCTTCTCAGCCTCGCTATCTCCTGGCTGCTGCTGTCCAGCCTCCTGGCCAGGTCCTCGCTCTCCGCCCGGAGTTGCCTCTTCTCTTCCTCCAGGACCGACTGGTCTCGGAGGAGGTTGCTGTTGGCCGTCTCCAGCTCCCTGGTTCGAGCTTCCAGCTGCTCCCGCTCCCTTGTTAGGGTGGCCAGCTCCCTCTGCTGCCCTTGCTGGGTCTCCGAGGGCCCGGCCACCTGGCCCGCGGTCAGCCGGTGGAGGAGGCCCTCCAGGGAGCTGAGCCGGGCCTTGGTGGCCTCCAGGTCTGCACGCTGGGCGCTGCTGTCCCTCTGCAGGTCCTGGATGGCTGACATGGCCTGGCCGTGCTCGGGGCAGCTGGACTCATTGGGGCTGACCACACTGAAGGTGTACTGGCAGCGGCCGCTCTGGTCGTTGGCCTTCCGGAGCTGGGCTGTCCTGGCCCCCACGCCCCACAGCAGACAGGCCAGGAGCAGCAGCTGGACAGCTGGCATCTTGGGCCTGTAGCTGCAGTGCCGTGCACAGAGCCCACAGAGCAAGGCCGGGTGAGGCTCCCTCTGGAATGCTGTCCTCCACGGCGGGGTGTCTGGATGGGTGGCCCTGCTGCTTCATATATACCGGGGAGCCAGCCCTGCATGGGGGGGAGCGGTGGCCACGTGGGGCCGGGTGGGGCCATGCGCAGGGGGGGGGTGTTTTCACACTGCCAGCAAGACTCTTAGAGAATGACCTTCCAGAAGTCTGTTTTGAATTTCTTTTAAGAAAAGAACGCCCCATGCTACGCACCCCACCTTCCCATAATAGTCCCTATATCCCCACCCTGTTTTGCATGCACAACCTCACACCCACCCACCTCATCCCGCATGACTGCTCGTGTGCCGATTTCAACAAGAGTTTATTTCCAGCTTATGTATCCATTTTCTCTGCAAACTTTTCTAGAGAACCTGCTCTGTGTCAGGCACTGTGGTCGGAACCAGGGATACAGGCATGCCTAAGATGCAGTTCCTCTGTCCCTACAGCAGTGACAGAGGGGATAGTGGCCAGAACCCAAGGGGTGGCAGGCCACCAGGCTTCAGGGAACAGAAGACACAACTGCAAGGAGAATTCTCCCCTTGTCCTGGCTTTAAAACAAGTATGAGTGTATCTTTGGGAGAACTTTCTAATTCCTGTCTTGCATCTCAGGCACCAATGTCAATGTTAGTCTCTACCGTGTGTATGCACACATGTGAGTGTGTACGTGTGAGTGTGTACATGTGTGTGTGCACAAGTGCCGTGACCCCGACCCCCCCCGATGAAATCTGTGGAACCCGTCTCAGGAAGGTGTCTTAAAATACACAGGGTTGCAAAACAAAACAAAACAAAACCCCATATGATATTGAAATATCATCAAAATATTTTTAAAATTTGAAATATACCCATCCTCCTTTATTAACTGTTAAAAACCAGATGTAGCTGGGGTGTGGGGAGCCTATTTCAAAGCAGTTTTGAGTGTGAATGCGATCACACAGTATCTGCCACAACTGTAATACAAGGTCAAATGTCTGTGATTTCTACTTGTGGTGACAAAGTTGCAGGCATTGCTGATGCAACTTTAGATTGCAACATTATATCCATAATGGAATAAAATGTTAAACCTAAATTTTAGCTAGAAGGGGTGAAAATAAAGATGTATTTCCCATCCAAATTTATAGGCTTTCTGGACCTTAGGTGAACAAGCCCTGTTTTACACTAATAATTCCAAAGAGAAAAATAAAAACAAACCAAAACAAAACAAACTGGAAAACACCCACCAAATATGCCAAGAGGAGGACCATGCAAATCAGAGTTCATGATGGTATCCTCATCAGTAACTTTTAAAATAACGTTTGCATTTGAGTAATTTAGGTTTTCTGATGATGATGCCAGCTTCAATATTTGTGACGTTAGTATTCAGAGGTGCCCCAGCTGACTCACATTTTGCTCTAAATATTTTATTCTTATGTGATTGGTTCTAAAGTTAGACGTGAACTTGAGACGTTTACAAATGGGTGTCCGTTTTCTGCTGACTAAAGGGTACTAGTCTCAGTTTCTGAATCAGATGGTAAACATCACTGAAATGACTGAAAAGAAAAACAAAAAACCTTATTGTCGGCAAGAAGTGGTTTGGATCTGTTTGGATTTACTCTTAGAAAAGTTTTCTTTCCGTTCAAAGTACTAAGTAAGGTGGCTCCCATGATGCCGACTCCATGGAGGGAAAGAGTGCAGAGAAGGCAGTGATTTTAGTACCTCGGTTTGCTTGGGGTGGTGACTCTGCCCGTCCAGGAAGAACAGAGGGCTAGACGTCAGGTCTTGTGTTTCCCTTCCACGACAGCGCACTGACTCGTGTACCACAGGGGCATAAATCTATAATTTCTGTGCTTTTCCAGCTGCTCCCGCTCCCCTTGTATGAATCTTGGGTCTTTTTTGCTCATACTCTAGCCCCCTCTTTTTGCCTTATCTCCCCTAAGCTGCAGGCTGTTTGTGGTTTGAGCAGTGACTGTGGAGCTGTGTGGGTGCTGGTGGAGTGGGAGGGGTGGAAGAGTTTAACACTCCTTGCCATTTCCACTTGGTCCAACCCAGGGTTTGAATGCCAGACAAAAGCTCCCACCAATCTTTCTCAGTGTTCCCTGTGGCTCCGGGCAAATGCCATTGTACACGAATGCGTAGGGGAAGAAAATGTGGCTGTGGGGTTCATTGAGCTTTCCTCAGTCTCAGTGTGCACAGTCTCGTCTCCCCCCTGGAGCCTGACATGATAAGGACTGCTGCGGGGGCGGGGGGGGGCACTGCCTCAGTTCGCTTGCCCACCCCCACTTCACCTCAGCTGCTGGAGCTCTGCCTGCTGCCACTCTCAGCACCTGCCTCACCAAGCCTCCCGGGAATGCTAGAGCCACAGGGCACTTACAGGCAAGAAGTTGGAGGCCCAGAGAAGGAGAGGGACTTGCCCAGGGTCACACAGCCAATGAATGGCAGATCCCGAAAGAAAACTGAGGTCCCCTGATTCCGAGGTTTTCCATGGTCTGGCATAACAAGTAACTCCACCCAAGTGCCCACTCGTTGTCCAGACTACATGCAAGGACTCCACTCACTTCTTCTAGGAGCCGACACTCTAGGAAATGAGCTAGCTTCCTATATTCCCATTACACAACGGTCTTCAGGGAAGGAACACTCGTGCACACCCTCCAGCTGTGGTAGTGATTTTTGTGAAACTGCACCCTTTCATGAAATAAGATTACGCATTCTCTGGAAAGCAGTGGACAGGGCTCCCTGGGAGACAGAAAACCCCAGGCCCCTGAAGAGCAGTAAACATCTGGTCAGCTTCCCTCTGCCCTCTTCACCTTCCTGCACCCCCAGCCTCTCGTGGCCAGGCCTCCACTCCCCGCAGGCCCCGCCTCCTGGAATCCTCCTGGACGTGGAGACCCCTTTCCCTATGAAGATACACCGTCCACTCCAGATTGGCTGTCAGACCGTGTTCTGTCTCCATTTCCTTTCTGGAGTCTGGAGCCAGGGAGTCTCCCCTTCAGACCTCCCGGCCGCCAGGAAGACACTTCTAGGGAGTGAGTCCGGCCAACGCCAGGGTTAGGCTTGTGGGTAGAGCAGGAGTGCAAGGTGCTGCCCGGGGCCTCCTGAGCTTGATGGAGCCGCAGGGGCTGCTGGGAGCTGCATCAGTTACTCAATTCGATTCCAGCATGTGCTTATTTCTGTTGGGTTTCAGGGGGTTGGCTGCTGGTTTTCCTTTGCAATTCTTCTATGAGAAACTGTCACCCCCACAAAGGTAGGACTGTGGTGGCTTTGCTCACTGTTTTGTCCCCAGTGTCTGGCAGCTATAAATCCTCAATAAATTTCCAGTGGATTCACAGAGGGATACATAATTCAGGGAGAAATAGAATGCAAAAGGGCCCTAAAGAATGAGGAGAAAGCCTCCAGCGGCACCGTTCTGGGCTGCTCAGGACACTCTGGGCGCCTCCCTGGTGCCTGCTGGCAGGGCTCTCCCAACTGGAGAGGAAACCTTTGCTGGGGGCACTCTCACCTCCTCCAAATGCGCACACATAACCCCAAAGGTATGCCTTTGTTTCACTATGGACAAGGAGGCTTTCCGCTAAACATGGTGAATTACATGACAACTTAGTAGCACGAACATGACGACCAGGGAAGGGTCTCCTGAGAAGAAGCTGTCCTGAACTGGGGAGCTCACGGCCCCATTCTTCACCCTACAGTGTTTGTGGGTTTCCTAGCTGGTTCATCATTGGAATAATGTGTTAGTAAGCACCTACTATGTGCTAAGGGCTGTGGCACATCCATACATGTGTGAGACACAGGCCCCACCGGAGAGGAGCTCTCGAGCTGTAACACAGGGTGAGGCTGTTTGAGGACCCTAAGCGTTAGAGAAGCTCGGGAAGGGGAAATTTGCCTTACGAACGGGAGAGGCTTCCCAGGGGAGGTGGCGTGTGAACAAACGGCTGAGACATGCAGGCGGCAGACTTGGTTACAGGTCGGCTGCTGGCCGTCTTTCCGTGTAGGTTGTGTCTACTGGCGAGGCATGCAGAGTCTCTTTCAGATGAAACACGTCTATTCCCTTTGTCACTGCCTCCTGCCACCCTCTGGCCCAGAGCAGAGGGAAGGAGTGGGGCTTAAGCCAGAGAGCCCTGCACAGCCTCTTCCATCCCGTGCTGGTCCCAGTGGGAGCTGGTCCTGGGCACTGGGCATCCTTTTCCTGTTGGCAGAGAAAGAGGCTTCCAAGGGCAGGACCCAGCAGTGGCAGTCATGTAGTATGGCCCAGGAGCATGTCTCCGCACCGAGAGAAGGCGTTTATGGGGACGAATGGGCATGGCGACAGCCTTCCCAGCAGGGGCCGGAGAGCTCCAAATGTTGTGTTAGCATCTAATTAAAATCAACCCACACTTAAACCATCACAATAACACTGTCAGCAATTATCGGCCTATAGATTCTATTTACCACTAGTCCTACACACCTCCCAGGATGCCATGTGATATGGCTTGTTTGGCTGGCTTTCTTCCAGTGGTGGATGAGTAGGGTTTCCACAGGTATTTGGGGGTTGGAGGGAACATGGAGATGTAAAAGGAAGCACAGAAAGAAAAGGCGAGATCCGTTCAAAAGGCCAAACAACAGCCCAATTTGACAAAGAGCTTCGGGCCTGAGTTCCGAGGACTTTGACAGGTGAGCTAGAAGGCTGGGTGGGGACAGTGATTTCTAATGATTTCTAGCCTGCCGGGAGCTGGACACAGTCTCTGTGTATGGCTGACTTTACAAAATTGCTACCCATGTCTAAACAGATTAGGTAGCACATATTTATTTTACTCTCAAAATGATTGAAATTAGTTATCTTTCAAGAGTTTCTTGAGATTTCTTAGGGAAACTGGACTTATTAAAGAGCCGAAGGGTCCCTGCTAGCAGACCTTGCTGGTGTGAAGACACTCAGTGTTCCATGAGCCTTTTAACTGTCTTTTGTTTTTCTCTCTGTTCCTTCATCTTTTCTTTAAAAGACAGACGTAGCCCTATCAATTATTTGTGTCTCTTGATACAGACGAGGAGATAACTGTAAACAGGTCCAATCACCTCATCAACCTCTA